ATGGATACGGAGCCACGACGATGACATACGGGCATCGCGATGAGATTCGACGATACAGCTGTCTGTGCTGGATTTCGTTCGGTTCAAAACGAGTATAAAACCTCACCTGTAGAGTGCCTAGTTATTGTCCATGTTCCTATAGCCATCGAACCCTCCTCACCCTTCACCACCACCGCTGAGGAACGTATCCCAGAAGTATTTCACTATAAAGAGCATCAAGACATCAAGATGATATCGACAACCAACCACCTCAAGCTCTCCTCTCCCCTGACGCTCCCCTTGCAACACCTCAACCATGCCCTCACCACCCTCCGCTACCACACTCACACCCTCTACCTCTTCACCAAAAACGACATCAAAACAATGCTCGTCCCCCTCTCTGCCCTGAGCATCCTCACATCCCTCCCCGGGCCTCCTCTAACCTCCCACCCAACTTCCTTCCCAACCATCCTCTCAAACCTGCCCGCCCTCCTCCTCTGGCTCTGGCTCAACATCCTCATCCTCTCCGTCTCCAACCAGCGCGATCCGGCCGGCGTGCTCGAGGACAAGCTCAACAAGCCCTGGCGCCCCATCCCCGCCGGCCGCGTCTCCGCTGCGCAGGCCAAACACCTCCTCCTCGCCGCCGTGCCCCTCACCCTCGCCCTCAGCTTCCGCCTCGGCGTCGGCTCCGAGACGCTGGCCTGCATCTGCGCGAGCTCCTACTACAACGATCTCGGCGGCGCCGACGAGCACTTCCTCATCCGCCAGCTCGTCAACGGGCTCGCGTACCCCGTCTACGGCGTCGCGGCGCTCAAGATCCTCATTGCAGACGTAGGCGTGGCCGAGATCCTCCCGGGCGCGTACGCGTGGCTCGGGATGCTGGGCCTCGTCGTGGGCACGACGATCCAGGTCCAGGACCTGAAGGACTACGAGGGCGACAAGGCGCGCGGGAGGCACACCTTCCCCGTAATCCTCGGGGACGCCTTCACGAGGTTCGGCATCTGCGTGGGCATCATGTTCTGGTCGCTCGTTTGTCCTGCGTTTTGGGGCATCGTGCAGGTCCGCGTGGCTGGGTGGGTATGGCTTTCCGGGGCCCTTTTGGCGGCGAGGATATGGTGCTGCAAAGGGCCAGAGGCGGATCGGCTGTCTTTTGTGATGTGGAGTTGGTGGGTGATGGGGTTGTTTGTGCTTCCCCTGATGCGAGTGGCGTGAAGTGGCGGTCATGTTGTGAGGCTATACGATGAGCTGGAGAAAGGGGCAACGCTGAAGGCATCATGACGGGCACGGTGATGGCGACGATGAACAGAAAAACAAGTCTGGTTAATCAGCTTTTTGTAAGATGCTAAGTCAGCCTTTCTGGCTGGATGGGTATTATTATAATACTACAAGCAATTAAGTGAGATGTTCACTGTCTATCCATGATTCGTCTGATAATCAGGCAGACTGTCCATCACCGCCTACGGGACCTTGTCCGACAGGCCACTGGGGCTGTCCCATCGGGCATGACGCTCCATCTGCAGCGGCCTTGATGATATCCGCCGCCTTCTCCGCCACTGCGTACACCGCTGCCTGGATATGTCCGCCTGGGATCATCGGCATGATACCGGCGTCCACAATACGGAGGTTGCAAGTCCCGTACACCATCAACTCAGAATCCACGACACCGCCAAGGTCCTTCGGCAACATGCTCGTCGTGCCGCTAGGGTGATACTCAGTGCCCACCAGCGGCTTCAGCGCCGTCATGAGCTCTCGCTCGTCGGTAGAGTTGTACTTGGCGTCGACTACTGGAAGGAGCGGCCTCATGGCGTCTGTGGCCATCAGCTTCTGCGTGAGCTGGAGGCCGAGTCTGATGATTTTGCAGTCAAGAGGGTCGGCGCAGTAGCGAGGGTCAACGACGGGGGCGTCATAGACGGAGGACGAGGATGGCCGGACAGTGCCGCGAGACAGAGGCTTCTGGTTTGCGATAGAGATCTGACCCCACGATGCGGCGAGGAGTTCGTATGCGCCGACGTCTTCGCGGGCCAGATGGTTCAGTACAAGGGTTTTCTGCTTTGCGTAGCCGGCTGCCACAGCGGACGGAGTGTCGAGCGGAAGGAAGTCGAAGGATTGGTTCTTTGAATGGGCAAGAAGGGTTCTCCATTCGTTGGCGTGATGCTTGAGCGCTGGGAAGGCGACGGTGTTGATCAGAGGTGTTGTCAAGGGACCTGAGATAGTTAGCTTCACGTCGTTATGGGGAAGGGCATGACTTGCCCGTCTTGTTGGCCAAGAACTGGTCCAGCGCATCTTCGAGTGTGTCACCGTTGAGATCATTAGACGTGAAAACAGAAGCATTAGAGTCTGAAAGCATGTTAGATTGAAGTAGAGATTAGGCAGGCTCCTGGGTGCTCACAATCATATGGGAATCTGGCCATGGGGTGATCCTGAAAATTGTTTCCAACTCCGGGCAGATCGATCTGCGTGGAAATATTCAAGGATTCCAAAACTTGACGAGGACCAATGCCGGAGACTTGAAGAAGAACAGGCGACTGGATGGCTCCGGCGGCCAGGATGACTTCTTTGTTCGCAGTGGCGGTTCTGTTGATATCCGACGGACCAGATGAGAGCTTTTACGGTCAGAACTCGTAGGGCCAGTGTATAACTCATGACTACGACTTACCTCGACGCCGATAATCCGGCGGCTTTCCTGGTTGGTCAGGGAACCGGGCAACCCTACGATCAGCCGCGTGGCCATGTGGCCAGTAACAACGTGAAAGTTGGAGCGCGCGTTGGCTGTGTCGAAGTAGCCAGTTCTCGCATCGGATCTCGTCTGGTTTGTGGGGGACATACTCGAGGCGACGACCATAGCGCCGGTCGGGTCACCCGAGTTGACGTCGTTGGATGTATGGATACCGACCTCGGCAAGACCTTGGAGAACGCTGCCTGTTTCCGATTAGCTTCAAATCATTCCAAATCTAGGCAGTATTTACTGGATGTGTTGTAGATATGCTCTGGGTACGCCACGTTGATGGGACCGTCAGTTCCGTGGAAAGACATGTTGGGCTTGATGTTGAACTCTTCACGAATACCTTGACCAACGTTGGCCGTGTACATCTCAACCTAAGTCGTACGTCAGAATCCTGGCACCGCCTTAGTTCAAGGATTTCATACCTTCTTGAAGTATGGCAACAGGCCATCCCATCCCCAACCGTCGTTGCCGAGCTCCTCCCAGGCGTCGAAGTCGGCAGCGGCGCCTCTGGTCCAGCACATTCCATTCACGACCGATCCGCCACCGACGACTTTGCCCTGGTTAATGTCTCGAGTCTTCCCGTCCAAGAAGGTCTGGGGCGCGGTGAGGACATCTTGACCATAGCCGGAAGGGGGTGTACGTCCAATGTATCCCGGGATGATGACCCGACCCTCGCGGCGGTCACTGGTGAATTGTTAGCTTGTTTTCACAATAAAGCGATGAAACAGTCTAAGAATGGAATACTCACAGGTCGCCGGCCTCGATTACGAGGACAGTCGCTGTATCTGGTCAGTGTGATGAGCCATAGTTGGCAAAGGGGTAAATACCATCGGAATTCTCACTGAGCCGGTTCGCGACCACGAGTCCGGAGAGGCCGCCACCAACAACGACGTAGTCGTACTCATCGAGAAGAAATTTGTCGATGGTCTGGTTGGTGATGTGGAGGGCGCTCGAGTAAGGAAGGAGCAGCGAGAGGGCGAAACAAAACAAAATTTTGAAAGTATGCATCTCGCACGCCGCCAGAGTCGCCCAAAGAAATCAAAATAAACCTCCAATAAAGAAGAACAAAAAAGCCTCCAAATCCGATTATTGATGTTGTGTGTTGGAAGGGTGGACAAAAAGAGGTCGACTTGGTGGGGTGAGAGAGGTGAATGAGTGTAAGAGGGTCTGAGACCGTCGCTCGGTGTGAAAGAGTGGAAGGAGTGAGGCAGCACTTGCTCACCGACGCACCTTCAGTGAGCCATCCTCACCTCGAGGGATCCCATAAGATATACTCGAACTTCTGCTCGACTGCTTTCTTCCATTCAAATCGTCGACTTTTAGGGTCCTTCCCCACGGTAATCTCTTGAGCATCTTTGCTCGGCAAGACATGGCATGACTATAAGATGGAAGGACTGCTGCAGAAAGGCCGTCGACCCACGATAAATCTTCTTAGTAGCAACATCCAAAAAGATCTGAACACATACTGGAAATATCTGTGGATTCTAGCTCGCAACGTTTTCTTCGTCTGACCATTTTCATCGTGGTCGTCGGTTCAGCCCGCTGATCTTGCTTGCTTTTCCGAGTCGCCGCCCCTCTATAATACAGAATTGACTGAGACAAACACGCGGATGCATGGATACGTGTTGACACAAAGCAAACAAAAATACATCAACGGTAATTATGAGTTGGTCATGTGATGATGCCGGCGGTATTCGCTACCAGGGACGAAGCTTGCCAGGTCGTTGATCATGAATGCGCGACGCTGACTGCTGTCAAGCTCGGATGATCATATACAGCCGCAAACAAGCAAACGCCGATCGATTAGCACTTGTTGATCGACGTGATGTGTGTTTGAACACAACCTGCCACCCAGGTTGCTCTGTTATTTACGAAATAAATAGCCAAGCATTCTCCCTAGCATCGTTATGGGCGAAAAGAAAACCAACAGAGCGACTTGTGCTCGCTGCTTAAGTTGTGCACCGCATGACCCGATCAGCAGATTCTTCAAGATTAACCCACGTTGCTAAAGCTTTATGCTATTATGAATGAGACGCTACTATGCAGCTGGCATGGCGAGCTCTCGCCAAAACTTAGCAGGTGAAGGATGCTGTAACTGGCCTAACGCAGGGGAATCCGAACGAGCTATCTCACTCTCGAGGAAGGGAGAAATGCTTTCGGGTCGCACTTCACGTTAGAATGGATGGCAATCATGTCCTCTATAACCCGTCGGCAGTGTGCCTGAAAGATCCATAACGAAGGCCGAGAAGATAGAAAGAAATCACATATTGAAAGGAGCAAAACGAAAAGAAAGAATTGTCCCCGGTCAGACTCGAACTGACGACCAACAGCTTAAGGATACTACGCTGGGGCTAAGGATAACATAAGACTGCTGCTCTACCGACTGAGCTACGGGGACGTATTGTTGATGGAAGAGATGATTAGTTCAGTACTTGAAGGTTGGACTGTGAGTTAAGTTCTCAGGGTAGACTGCTCAGAGGGGTAAATACACCTTGAGGATTTGAGAGTCACTTCCTGGATGTAAGTGACCATCTCCCGTTCATCCAGCTAACTCTGGTATGTCAAGCCATGTAAGCTAAGCAATAGTCCCCGTTTTCAGAGCGAAGTAGGAATGAGTGACTATTTCGCATGCTTCCGAGTTCTTCCCAAGTCAAGGCTTGTCAGCAAACCGATGTATCGCCAAGGAGCATTTGGCCTCACCTAACTTCATCCTAATCACACTCCGAAGAGGTTGCCAGAAGTGAGTCACACAGCAACTTGATGCCGCAATTATCATTCTGATCATGATAATTTGTCCTCAACAAGCAGCCAGCACGGTAGCTCAGTGGTAGCAGCGGTGGGCTCATAACCCAAAGGTCCCTGGATCGAAACCAGGCCGTGCTAAGTCGAGTCTTTTAGGCCGTTTTCGAGAAGATGCCGCAAAAGAACCATCAAGAAGCTCCCGAATACAGCTTCAGACAGTAGAGAGTCATGAAGACTAGCCATCTTTCCAGCGTGGTTCTGGACCGCTGCACCCTCGCTGGGAATCTCATGTCATGCCTTCGTCTGCCTGCCTGCTAATCTAGGAAACTCACGGAGGAAACTCATGGGTCGTTCGTCGTGCCGTTTAATCTCTCTGGACATTATGTATGAGACGGGGAGCACGGGTTCATAGATTGAGCAAACAAGCCAGGTAAACAGGAGATCAAATTAAATATCATGTTTGGTGTGACAGTGCCCGTCGGGAGACCGTGTGAAGGGATGGTCCCGATGGCACTAACTTGCTCGGACTTTGAGACTCCGCCAAAACCATCAACAAAATATGTTCGCTTTGCTCGGGGAAACGCCTCAACAAGCAAGGGCCGCTGATGTGCGACGGATGCCAGGTCGATCAATACATTTGCGGCCGTTGGTCGGGACCAATCACTGTCTTGTTCCACCATTTTCTCGTATTCGATGGTCACTCAAAAGCTATGACGGAAAAACAAGAGTCCAATGCAGAATTGTGAAAATTGGCCTTCGGATGGAGCTTTCCTCGGACTTTGAGTCTCAAGTCCAGAGAGATGAAGGAAGGCGAATGCTGCCGTCGTTGACCGAGGTGAAGGTGCTATCGCTCCACTCAAATTAGTATTGGGCCAATAGGAAGCTCCCTGATGTAATCCGACCACCACTCCCACCTCGAGCTTCGACTCTGACGCAAGACTCCTTACATGCTCTTCATCCAGTTCACACGAACGAGTTTGCAAGATGCAAGCGTTGGCGAGAGCGCTTAACAGAAAGAATGGGATTCCCAGGAGAGCCATATGGCCTCCCAGACGATCCCTCCATCTCGCACCACCCTTCCTCCTCGATGACTACATACCACGGTACATGATGTTGTCCTCCATCGATGAATCCAAAAAGCGCTCCAAGGCGTACCATCACCTCTCAAAATGCAATCTCTGTCCGCGCCTATGCGGCGTCAACCGTTTCGAGACGACGGGAATGTGTCTGATTGGCGATAACACAAAGGTCAATGTGATTGCGCCTCATTTCGGTGAAGGTCTGGAAGCAGCTGTCCCAAAGCAAGGATGCCGCACACTGACCAGCTGTCACAGAACCATGCGTCCAGGGGCACAATGGAAGTGGCGCGGTATTCTTTTCCGGCTGCAATCTCCGCTGCGTCTTTTGCCAGAACCATGACATTGCCCATCAGCGCAATGGCCAGGACCTGACACCCGAGGAGCTGGGCGAGTGGTACATCAAGCTGCAGCAGGTCGGCCGCGTCCACAACATCAACCTCATCACTCCGGAGCACGTGGTTCCCCAGGTTGTCTTGAGCATCCTGCATGCCAGGCACCTAGGCTTGAAGGTGCCCATCATCTACAATACCTCAAGTTTCGATTCGCCCGAGTCGTTGGAGCTGCTCGATGGCTTGGTCGACATCTATCTCCCTGACTTCAAGGTCTGGGAAACCAGCACATCCAAGCGTCTCCTGAAAGCAGACGACTATGCGGCCACGGCGCGCGAGAGCATCAAGGCGATGCACGCGCAGGTTGGCGACCTTTGCTTTACTGGCGACGGCATCGCCAAGAAGGGCCTCCTTGTACGCCATCTGGTCATGCCAGGGAAGGAAGCAGAGGGACACAAAATCATGGAATTCCTGGCCAAGGAGGTTTCCAGGGATTGCTTTGTCAACATCATGGAGCAGTATCACCCAGATGCCCACGTTGGCAAGGCCAGGAGACGTCCCAAAGCCGGGGCCGCCAGCACCGAGTCTGGTGGAGAGGAGGTTCGATACAGTGAAATCAATCGCGCCGTGTCGGATAACGAGATCTCCTCGGTCCGGAAGGCGGCGGAAGCAGCTGGTCTGTGGCGATTCTGTGACCCGCCTCGCCATGATGGTTTCAACATCTGAACCCCCTTGCATCACAAGACAAACGCTAGCATGCTTCTTGGCACCTCATGAAGGAAACATGGTGGCATTTGGCTCCTCGCAGTCGGCGGCGAACTGAAATTGGTGCCATCATGCCAGGCTCGTTGCTTCTGTGCCGCAGCCATGTCGACGTCGCGTGGCAACTCTCAGGTGTGTTGGTTTCCTTGAAGTCGTGATCAGTTACACCTACGTTCTCGTTGATACCACCACAAGGACTATTACGAGAACCACGGGCCTCTTTAACAACAAGCGGGCGCTGACTTTTGCAGATGGTATGGGCCAAGAGTGTCAAGCAAAGTCCGAGGTTTCCCACCCTGTACCATGTTGTTGGAACCAACGAACGTTGCCGAGTGCCGAGCACCACGCGTCTGATCATGTTCAATGCGGGGTTTCCATTGTTCGAAGCTCTCGTCAAATTAAACCGCAGGCTGCCAAGCCAGTTTGTTCTTTCGTCAAAAACGCCTCCTCATCCTTTGCGTACACAGCTAAATCTGGACCCCTTTGGCTCTTTTGCTTTATTGAGAAACATCGGACGAGAGCCTTGCCGTCCCTTATCAGAGGAATGATCCTAAACCGTCAACTAAGTTTGCGGGTAGGCAAATCCACCTTTGTTTCGATCTGGTCAATTTTGGATACAGTGGGAATTTCTGCAGCGGAACACCCATCTATATCTGAAGTGATAATGCCGAACAGACTTCCGGAACCTCTGCTCGTTTCTCTATCACCAGTTCACAGCCTCAGTCATGGAGCAACACGTCCAAGCAGCGGTCTTCACTCCCAGATCTGTGCAGAATCAAGATGCGTCGACCACATCTTCCGAAGATTCACCAAGCTACAATAGCTGTCTACCCCGCCGCCAGGGTTCTGTCACGGCATATCCAAGTTCTCAAACAGCTTCTTGTAGGAGCAACGTCAGGCGAGGTCGAACGATGCCAGTCAACAACATATCACTCAACACGAGGGTCAAGCCGGCCTGGTCGGTCTTCACGTCTCCTGGCTCTTTCGAGCAACTGTACAACGAGAGGGCATACCTCAACGCTTCTCTCAGGGGCCAGGGCGACCGCTCATTCGAGCTCATGAGAAGGCTCACCATCTTGCATGAGCAGATGGACAGCTTCTTGCCATCCGACGAGCGGCGAAGGGCTCGAAAGAAAGCCGCCTTGATCAAGAGCAAGATCACGGAAGCCGCCGCACAGGAGAAAGCGATTTCCATCCGACTCTGTGATATCAATGCGGAGCTCAGCATCCGAGAACGATGGATGCAGGTTCAACACGAAATCTACGAGCAAAGATATTGCTACTGGGCCATGGAATCACCCGTGACCGGTTACATGGCATCGCCAACGGACCTAGCCTCGGTCGTCCCCACGCCGCTTGATGCCGCCTCGCCTGTCTTCTTCCCGGTGGGATACTATCCCATTTACAGCCCGATGCAAATGATGCCGTGTCACGAGCCGGAGGCGTCACCCCCTGAAATGTGGGCCAACAATGAGATGAACGAGACACCGATCGACGCACTGGGAAATCACGGCCTGCAGTTCTGCTATGACACCCCCCAAAGCCATGCCCGAACGGCTGACGAGGCGTCGAGCGAGCTCCCGGGAGCGGATATCGCGAATAAGAGGGGACGGAGGATGAGTCTGCCGCCACTGAGGTGTCTTTGGCCCAGACAACAAGAAAATTGATGACTGGCTCGAGGTCATGATCCTCACAGCGCGGAGAAAATCTTGGTTGAAATTGTTGATATGGTGCTTTTTTTTCAAAACATGCCAATGGACGCATGCATAATAGCTAGGCAAACGACGCAGGGAATCTCTTGCTCAAATCAGTCCTTCCTCCTATGCGCCCCCTTTTAGTGTATCGCAGCTACCGCCCCTCAGGCGAACTCTCCAAACTGTCCATCGTCGAATCCCAGATCCTGCGCAGATTTCCTCTTCTCCCGCTTTTGGTCCCGCACGCTCTGTGAACTCGGCGGCGGCGGCAGGAAGCTTCCGTTCCCGCTGCTCTTGGGCGCAGCAGGCGGCGGCGGTAACGAGAAAGCCTGCAAGCTCGCGCCGTCAGGCGGTCCCGTCAACGACGCGGCCGAGGGCCCCCTCGACCGCCTTCCGAGCTTGGAGCCGCCAAAGTTGATGGTGATAGTCTCGCCCTCCTTCAGACTGTAGTCCTTGGTCTTCTCCTCCTCGGCGCGCTTGCTGTTCTCGGCGGCCTGCTTGGCATGGCTCGCGTCCAGCAGGCCCAGGCTCTTCTGGGCCTCCTGCAGGGCGACGCCGAAGTCGAAGGCCTCGCTGCGCTCCTCGAAGCCGATGCCGAGGACGGCCTTGCGGCCCTGGCCGTCCTGGACGCGGACGGCGAAGAAGCGAGAGGAGTCGAGGACGGGCTCGACGACGGTGATGGAGGTGTAGGGGGCGGCGGCGAAGAGCTGGCCGTTGGAGGGGTCCTCGAGGACGATGTCGACCTTGATGTGGTTCTCCTTGGTGGTGATGCCGGCGGGGGCGCCCGGGGCG